TGTCCCTTGTGAACATTCCTGTTCTCTGCCAGCAGCATCATTCCCATGAGCATCACAGTCCCCATGAGCATCACCATCCTCGTGAACATCCCTTCCCCCTGTGACCATCCCTGTCCCTTGTGAACATCCCTTCCCCTGCAACCATCCCTGTCCCCCTCCAGCGTCCCTGTCCCTTGTGATCATCTCTGTCCACCTCTAGCATCCCTGTCCCCTGCAACCATTCCTGTCCCACTCCAGTATCCCTGTCTCTTGTGACCATCCCTGTTCTCCACGACCATCCCTGTCTCCTACAACCATGCCTGTCTCCATGACCATCCTTGTCCCCTGATGGCATCCCTGTCCCGACCCCACCAGCATCCCTGTCTCCTGGGGACATCCCTGTCCCCTGCAACCATCCCTGTCCCTTGTGAGCATCCCTGTCCCTTTTGAACATCCCTGTCCCCTGCGATCATTCCCACACCCTGTGAGCACCTCTGGGATGGGACCCGAGGTGGGTGGGTGTCACTCAGGTGGGTCCCCACTGCCGGCAGACACATCTCGGAAGCCAAAGGAGAGCGAGCGGGACGGGCAGGGATATCGCTTCGTGTCCCGGGGGGAGATGGAGGCCGACATCAAGGCTGGGAGGTACCTGGAGCACGGCGAGTACGAAGGAAACCTGTACGGAACCAGGATCGACTCCATCCGAGCCGTGGTGGAGGCTGGCAAGATGTGCATCCTGGATGTCAACCCCCAGGTAGGGGAGGGGGATGATGACTGTCGTTACCCAACAAGTTGTATTTCTTAAAAGTGCAGCCGTTGGGGGGAATTGTTGAGGGGAGATTTAATTAGTGGAATAGATAACAGATGATGGGCAAGCTCTGGGTAATGCCTGTGTGTTCGAAGAACAAATGGAACGTTTAGGGCCTGGCATGGCTCAGTGCTCTTAGAGCTGGGAGAGAAATTTAGTGTTGACATCAAATGCAGGATTTATATAAACCACAAAGGTGCAGAAACAAGAGGTGAAGAAGAAACGAACACAGATAATTTCCCAGAGACTCTCCCTCTCTGGGAAAAAGTAATAGAATACTGAAAATGGGGACTGATTAGTGTGAGAAATGAGAAATCAATTAGCAATAGAAGATAGAATAATAATTAATGAAGAGAACCGCATAAGCTGATGAACACTAATTCCTTTGTTTGCTAAAATGTATAAATACTTAAAAGTTTTAATAACTGATGTACGGGTTTTATGGAGCCATCCCCATGTACCTCAATGTCGAATAAACCCTCTAACCTGACAAACTGGGTTAGAGGGTTTATTTCCCAGGGTTTTGGTGACTCTGTCTCCTCCCACCCAGGCAGTGAAGGTGCTGAGAACAGCTGAGTTTGTGCCATATGTGGTGTTCATCGAAGCCCCCTGCCCCGAGACCCTGCGGGCCATGAACCGAGCGGCCCTGGAGAGTGGTGTGGCCACCAAACAGCTCACGGTGGGTGTCCTGGGGGTCTGGGGGGCAAACTGAGGGAAGGTAAAACTGAGGCAGGGCTGTGGGGGGCTGAAGGCAGATGGTGAGTGTCCCCTGCCACCCTGGGGGGCAATGGGGAAACTGAAGTAGGGTTTGGGGGGCTGAAGGTGGATGGTGGGTGTTCCTCTACCATCCCTGGGGGGCAGTGGGGAAATTAAGGCAGGGTTTGGGGGGCAGGAGGAAGACACACAGCTCATGGTTGGTGTCCCTCTCTGTCCCCAGGGGGGCACACAGGGTCTTGGGGAAACTGAGGCAAGTCTGTGGGGGCAGGAGGTGGGTGGGCAGCGGATGGTGGGTGTCCCCCTGCCATCCTGGGGGTGATGGGGAAACTGAGGCAGGTTTAGGGTGCAGGAGGCAGATACCCAGAGAATGACAGGCATCCCTCTGCCACCCTAGGGGGCAGTGGGAAAACTGAGGCTGGGTTTGGGGGGCACAAAGACAAGACACAGGTCATGGCGGGTGTCCCCCTCTGTCACAGAGGGGTGATGGGGAAACTGAGGCAGAGTCTGGGTGGATGGTGGGTGTCCTCCCTCTACCCAGGGGGCATGGAGGGGTGATGGGGAAACTGAGGACATGGTTTGGGGGGCAGGAGGAGGACACACAGCTCATGGTTGGTTTCCCTCTGCCACCTTGGGGGTTGTTGGGGAAACTGAAGCAGAGTTTAGGGTGCAGGAGGTGGGTGGGCAGTGGATGGTGGGTGTCACCCTGCCATCCTGGGGAGCAATGGGGAAACTGAGGCAGGGCTGTGGGGGCAGAAGAAGAACACACAGCTCATGATGGGTGTCCCCCCTGCCACCTTGGAGGGCAACAGGGAAACTGAGGCAGGATTGGGGGGCTGAAGGCAGATGATGGGTGTTCCTCTGCAATACTGGGGGGCAATGGGGAAACTGAGGCAGGGTTGCCGGGGCAAGAGGAGGACAGAGGGTGCTCCTCTGCCATCCCTGTGGGGAGCGGGGATCCTGAGGCAGTTGTGGGGTGCAGGAGGCAGATGCCCAGCGGACAGTGGAGGAGAGCAGCCGGATCCAACGCGGGTACGGGCACTACTTTGACCTGAGCCTCATCAACGACGACCTGGAGCGAACCTTCAGGAGGCTCCGGGAGGCCATGGACCACCTGCGTGTCCAGCCCCAGTGGGTGCCTGTCACCTGGGTCTACTAGTGACCACCCCACCCCGCAGGAGGGGGCCATAAAACCCTCTCCTCAACCCCCCCAGCCCACCCAGGAGGGCTGTGAGGGGTGGAGGGGGGTTGTGCCTCACCCACTGGTGTGATGAGCTTGTGCTCAGCACCGTGGGAGTGTGTGTGTGTGGCTCTCTGTAGAGCCCCCCAACCCAAGCCTGACCCTTCTCTCACCCCTACTCAGCCCCAGATTTGGGGGGAGTGGAGGCAGAATCAGCCACTGGGGGCCACATGGGGGGGCACGGCCACCCCCCACCATGCCCAGCACCCACACAGCTAATTCACTGCCAAAACCTCACCCCCTCCCCAAATTACCCCAGGGGGTTGTGCCACTTCTCAGATGGGGGACACGGGGAGGACAGGGGTCCCCCCCACTCTTCATAGCCCCCCGCCTCAGTTTCCCCATGAGGAAGCCCACCCTGTCCCAGATTGGGACCCCCAGGATTGGGGTCGGGGGGGCTG